AGCTGACGAATCAAATTATGTGCTCTGACTTCAGTGAGTTACCTGCAAGTTGGGGAAGGACTTGTAATGAAGCAGGATGGGAGCAGGAAGAACTGCGAGTCACTCACTCCCTCAGGGTCCAAGAGGAGGTCGATATCCCCTGGACACTGGGCAGAGATGCCTTCTGAGGCTGCTGGAGACTCATCATCTTTCTGTTAACGCTGGGAGCTCACCTACCACGGCATTCAACTCAATAACCTGGTGTGATAAAACACTAACAGTACCCTGCTCCTCTCCTTCCATTCTGCTCTCCTCCCCACTTCTGTGTATGCACTTTTTGCCTGTGCTAATCAATAACCAAGTTCTTCAGCAATACACTTTTTAAGACAAGTATTATCAGTGCTGCTGTGTTGGTCTCACAGCTGGAACCAGTCCCTCTTAGGCTGGTGCCTTCCCGGGATGCTCACTAAAAATTAACTTTTCAAGATAATGTAAATCATTTGCTGTTCTCATATGACAAATGCTGCAACACTCCGTGGCTAAATTGCCCTTTTTTACTTATCAGCTGCTGCATCCATCATTTCCAATAAAAATAAAGCCAGCAGTTATCTCTGGGAAGAGCATGTCATGTAACCAGTCATGCTGAGAAAAGGAAATGGTGTCTGTTAGGTCAGAAGGAATTAATTTTTGCAGGTAGAACAAATTAAATACTCAGAAAGCTGCTTGAGAAACTGAAGACTCATCAATTTTAACCCCTCACTGTTTATCAAGGGTAAGGGTCTGTGTTTTGTTATTTGAGGATGTATTTGAATCTCTATACAAAGTCAAATTCACCTATTGCCTTACACAATGGTCCTGCTCTGTGCTGCAGACTTCTGAGGATGTTAGTGGGCATCCTAGATCCCAAATACCATTCCACACATTACTAAAAGGCTCAAGATGCAAATCAAAACCGGATGTCTCAAAACCCAGGAGTACCGGAGCTCCTGCCACTGTTCCTCAAGGCTAAGGTGCTGCTTTTTTAACTGCAGCAGTTTCTTGTGAGTGGAAGAATATATTTAGAATATCCATGTAACACTGTGTAGGGATCCACCGTGTGGGAGGTGGATCTAGGAGTGGGACAGTGTCCTCTGCTGCTCCCAGGTCCATCTGTGTAAAGAGACACTGAAAGCTGGAACTCTGATCTTCTCCTGCTGTCTCTTGGCACAGGGCGTCCACTTTGCTCACTCCCTAAAAGTGCCAGTGGCTTTTCATATCCGCAGCATCTGTTGTTATTATATGGATGATTCCAGCAGAAATCATCTTGGGAAAGGTGAGTTTTAATATGAAATCTTGACATTTTTTAGTCCTCTTGAACACTGGCTGGAGCTCTGCTCATATCTAGAAGGGAAACCTTCCTGCTCACCTCCTAGGAGGCTTCTGTGCCTCTCCAGTCCATATAATTGAGCAGAATTGGGAATTTCCATGTCAGCATGGAACTTCACATTGCTCAGAAAGGCTTTGCAGTACAGGCTGTGGGTCCAACATGGAAAGCAAAGAGAAACTGTGTGGTTTGCAGTCTGGAGAAAAAGAAAAAAAAAGAACCCAAAGGTCTGATGAGGATAGGAGTTACTACCTTGTGAAATAGGAGGTTTGGAAGCTATTTGGGGAACAGAGGGAATGATCAGCATCATGAACAAGGAAAGCACAGCACAGGCAGGGCTGTAGGCAAAAGGTATTTTCTATTCCCAGGGCTAAGCCAGAATTAATGAAGAGCAAAGACTGAGTAAAAGCACTCAGACCTGCAGGGTCTGAGCCAGTAACCCGACACACTCATTTACACCTCCAAATTATTGTTTGCTTTCAGTTCTTGCCTTGGACTCAGTGCAAAATAACACCCAATTCTAAAGAGGCTGGAGTTGGTTTTGTAGTCTAATGCTTGCTGATGTGCAGGACACACACCTTCTGCCTGTAGCTGCTTTGGTGTCAAAAACTTAATGTTTTAAAATCCCAGCATGAAGGACATATATATGGAATGCCTGTGTTCCCTGTCCTCTTCATCAGAGGGTGGAAAATTAAGCCAAAGAGCTCTGCAAAATCTAGATTTCTTCCTTATAAAACTGCAGTACAAGAGTGAAACAAAGCATGGAAATATTTTAAGAAACACTTGGAATTTTTTTCTCACAGGGATGGAATTTCTCAGGAATTCTCACTGTGACGCTTCCCCATTCACTTCCCTTCAGCTTGGTGCATTGAAGAGGAGGAGCTCAGAGGGACAAAAAGCTTTGCTTTGCTCCCCTCTCCTGCAGCCCAGACCCTGCAGGAGTGGGGCTTTTGTAGTTCCCAGTGTGGCTTCTCCCCCCAGCGCTTGCTCCCAGTGCTGCCGTCTGGCCAGTTCCTTTGCAGGTTTTAGCACTGATTATTGTCAGCTCCAGTTTCTCAGAGTTTCCTCTGTTGCTATGTAAAAATAAAAGCCACACAGAGATGAGGTTTGTAGAAACCTGCTCTGTGATTTGGGATCTCTGTGATTGGTGGTAAGACCAGTGCTGGTGCAGCTGAAGCCATTTTCAGCCTTTCTGAGCACGTCTAACTCCCATATGTTCTCATAGAATATTTTTCCTGTCTTTTTTAGCACATTTGTTCTATTTGTGATGCTGCCTTAACGTGTCTCACTTGATGCCATTCCTGCCTTCAGTTCTTTCATGCCATGCTCAGGCCTTGGCCAGTTTCATCCCACTCCCCAAAAATCCTCCTCCCGGGCCTGCAGCACAGGGATCTTCAAAGAGGGAAGAGGAAGAAGTGACAAGAACAAAATACAACAGGACCATCAATCCCAATTATGCTCTTCTTCACACTTCTCTGTGATGCTGCATCATCTCTAAAAATAGAACTTAGGGTCCATTGGGAATCATAACTCATCTTTTGCTCTGTGAAGTACCCCATGGGTTTGAAGTTTTGCTTTTAAAAGCCATGGACGAGATAGAAGGGTGGGGATTAATGTGCTTTATTTCCTTGTTCCCACTAGTAGTTCTACTTCTTAGTGGTAATGATGGACTTGAGAAGGTCCAAACCAAGTTGTCCACTGCTTTTCAGAGCTCAAATGAAAGGAGAAGGGAGATCACAGGAGCCTGAGGTATCACACATGATGGGAGATTTGGATAGAAGCACAAGGTCTTCCCCAGCCAGGGTGCTTCTGACCTCCCAGTACCTTAAACAAATAGAAAAATAAGAGCATGAGTGATTAAACACAGAGAAAACAGGCAGGATCAACTGATTGATCTTTTGATGATAAATTAAGTAAATTGACTCAGGTAGGAGTGGAAAGCAGAGCTCAAAGGAAGATCTGTGTGAGTCTCAGTCACAATTTGAAACAGCATCTGTTGCCTTTTTGGGTCAAACTGAACACTTCAGAGCCTGGGATTTTTTCAGAACTGACTCATTAAGACTCTTCAGGAGAAGTAAAATACTAAAACTAAAAGGTTATATGAAATTTCAGGGTTAATTTTGGACTACAGGGGATGGTAAAAGGCTTCACTGCTCACGTTTTGTAGAAGCTTAGGTGGCTATCTAGGCCATCCTCCTGCCTCAGGTAGGGCCATGGCTGTGCCATTTCCTCAACTGGGGACTCAGATAAAGGCTTCAACCTTTGGCTTCAGCTTCCTCTGCCCAATGGGTGTTACTCTTCTGCAATTTCCAGAAAATAGCAGTAAAAATCCAATCTGTGCTCAGAAGGAGGGAGCTGGAATGTGAAGTAATGTGACAAAGGCAGAGGAGAGGGACCAGAACTGACAGTGAAAAGCAAGTCTGCAGCTCTGCCTGTAAGTGAAGCTTCTCTTCAGTCAATATTTCACTACTTGAGCAGTTTATTCTGGACAAGGAACATCTCTGAAATGGTGCAGAAAGTTTTGACCTGCCAGGAGCGGGGGTGTATGACCACATGGCCACCTTGGTGCCATGTCAGGACCCAGAGTGTTCCCACACAGAGCAGCACCAGAGTGGAGTGATGCCCACCTGGAAAATCCATCCCTGGGGGTCGACAGGGATCTTTTTTGTGGTGTTTCTTTTCCATCTACATGATGTAGAGAAGCATTTGACAAATGATGGTGGCCAGCGTAACACTGATTTTAAAAAAGGCACAGGAACTGTTTTGTGTGAACCTGTGAAATCTCTGCAGTTATTGAGAATTTCCTCCTCCCTTCCATTGGAATGAACTTTAAGAAGCCACATCATTGGTGGTATATCCTCTGATTTATGTAGTGGAATTTATGTAGTGTAATTATTGGGGTGCTGCAGGTGCTCAGTTCCCTCACAAACACGGCATCTCTCCCAGGACAATTCCTCCTTACAGGCACAGCCCAGGGGTTTGGGGAGGCTGCCACACCATCAGTGCCCTCCATAACACAGCAAGGAGCACAACCACGAGGGAGAGATTTGATGAGGCAGAGACGAGGGAGATCAATGGAGGTCGGAAAAGGCCTCTGACATCAGCGAGTTCAACCTGTGCCCCGATAGCACCTTGTCAACCAGACCATGGCACTGAGAGCCACATCCACCCTTCCCCTGAACACCTCCAGGGACAGGGCCTCCCCTGTTCGATGGGGCTGGGGATGGGCACGGGAAGGTGTGTGTGCAAAGAACACCATGTGAGGCGCTGAAGGGGCACTGAGGGGGCTGTGGCAGACAGCTTTGAGAAGATTTGAGGGGGCCAAGGATGCTGGGGATGGCCAGGGGAAGTTGTGCTCGGGCAGGGCGCGGTGTGAGGCGCGGCGCGGGGCGCTGAGGGCGGCCCGGCGGCCATTTTGCGAAGGACAATGCCCGCCGCGCGGGGCGGGGCGGGGGCGCGCGCACGCAGCGCGCAGGCAGAGCGGCCGCGGCCGCGCGCGCGCCCCTCCCCTCCGCTGCCGCCGCCGCCGCGTTATGTAACGGCCGCGGGGCGCGCGCGCGCGCTCTCCGCCCCCCTTCCCCCTCCCTCCCGCCTCACCCCCCCGCCCGGCCCTGGGGGCGGCGGGAACGCGCCCGGGGGGGAGGGGAGAGCGCGCCGGGTGCGCGCACGCACAGCCGCGGGGCCGCGCCTTGCCCCGTGCGTGCGCGCTCCCGGCCCCCCCCGCCTTCCCCTCTCTCTGTGTCCCTCTCTCTCCCTCTCTCCGCCGCGCTCGGCCGGCTCTGCCCCCCCTTTGTGCGCGCTCCGAGCCGCCCCCGCATCGCCGACTCGCCATGGCCGACGAGAAGCCCAAGGTGAGGCCGGCGCGCTCCGCAGCTCCCGCCGCTACGCTCGGCCCCTCAGGCGGCGGCCCCGGCCCGCAGCCCCCGCGCCGCCTTTGCGCGCCATTTTCCTGCGCGGGTGGGGGGGGCCGAGGCCGCGGCTCCCAGGGCGGGCGGGGGATCCCCGGGGAGAGGGGGAGCGAGCCCGGGCTGCCTTCCCGCCCTCCGCGGGGAGAGAGGCAGGTCTGAAGGCGGTTGTTGCTGCCTTCCTCCTCCTCCTCCGCGGCCGCAGCATCCCCGCCGGCCGCCTCGGCAGCCGCTGCCCTCACAGTCCCCGCACAGCTCCGGCCCCTTTGTGCCGCCTCGGGGCCGGGGGGGCCGTGGGGGCTCCGCTCCTCACGGCAGGAATTAACAGAGATAGCCGCCGCCGGGGGGTTGGCTTTTTTTTTTTTTTTTTTTTTTTTTTTTTTTTTTTTTTTCCTCCTTACCCCTCCTTCCGTTTTTTGTTTTTTTTTTTGTGTGTGTGGTTTTTTTTCCTCCCTCCCCCACACGATTTTTAAACCGAATTCGAAGTGGCGGAGGGCGCGGGGCCGCGCGCGGGCTGACACATGGCGGGACCCGGCTCCCAGAAAAGAGGGAAAACAAAGCTGGAATGGGGGTCTGGGACAGTCCCGGGGCGGGACAGCCCCGATCTCCGTCCCTCTGCCCTGAGGCCCGGCCACAACACGAGGGACCGAGCTGGAAGTTGATTCTCCGAAGTTTTTCGCTCCGAGAGGGTCGGGCTGCCTGATGTGGAGTTTTTTTAAACGTTTTCTGAAGGAAAAAACTTGGGCCGCTTCAGGTTTTATCACCATTTCAAATGTGGCCCTTTAAAGTACCTGGAAAGTTTTTTTTTGTTGATTTTTTTTTTTTAATAAGGACGTGAAACGGTAGGAAAAAGTTTGAGATGCAATGAGAAAGAGCCTTGCTGCTGGTTGGGATCACAATTATAACATAAATCAGCTATAATAGATCATAGTTAGAACATAGGTAACTTCATTCCTTTCAGTAGTGTTGTATATTGTTGTTCTTTTAATAGAAATTTTTTTTTTCCATTCCTTTTTTTAAAAAAATCTGTTTTGAATGCCTGGCCTGGTGATTCTTCATTGCTAAATATCCAGTCTGCAGAATGACAGCTAATACCAGATTTTATTTTTTTTTTTTGTATGTGGCTTTTTTTTTATTTTAAATTTTCAACTGAAAAGTGCTGACCTTTATTCCCTAATTCAAGGTTTCAAGTCAGTAAACAGCTTTAATATCTTTATTTCCTCCTTCTTAATAACCTGTTGCACTTCGGTAAAATGTTAACTTCTCGTTTCATACCTTTTTTAAAAAGTGTTGGTTATTATTTTTCTTTTATTTCTTCCACAGGAAGGAGTGAAGACTGAAAACAATGACCACATTAATCTGAAGGTGGCAGGGCAAGATGGGTCTGTGGTGCAGTTTAAGATTAAGAGGCACACACCACTTAGTAAACTAATGAAAGCCTATTGTGAACGACAGGTATGATCTCAGGAGAACAGTCTCTGGGGGAGAGCTGCTCTCCACAGGGAGAGAGGAAGACAGTTAAAGTCTTAAAACTTAAGTAAATATGCAAAATTATAGAGATCGAGCAGAAACGAATTGTGCTGTGGGAAGTTTATTCTCATTGGAGTCTGTTACGGGCTGGACTGAGAGGGTTGTTACAGGAAACGGGTGAAATAAAGATCTGTTGTCTATGAAATCTGCATTTATAGCTGCAGGTTTCTGGGAGGTAACTGCTGCTCTGCTGCTCTACTGCTCAGAAATATTAGTGTGAAAAGAGTGGGTTTGGGATGAATTTAGTGGGGAGAAGGGAGCAAAGTGATAATCAGGGATTTTTATAGCTCTGAATACCTTCTTGCACTGGTCATTGACTTTTGATTTATTAGCTTAATTTTACTGAGATGAGGAGATACCTTGAGAAGGAGCTCGTACATTTAATAATGAGCTTTGTTTTTTTCTCTTGTGGCCTGGTTGACAAACGAATCTTCTGAGAGACAAACACACCCCATGTATTTGCTGATGTGGTGGCAGCTGCAGCCAGTGTGTGAGGCAGCTACTGCAAGTTTTTAAAGCACCTGTTTGAGTAGAGCTATGGAACTCTTCCTTCTGAAGCTCCTAATTAGGGACATTTTTTCCAACATTTTTTAGTGACTGCCTTTAAAAATTCTAGCTCTACAAAAGTGTTCAGAATTTGTGGATTTTTAATTTCTTAAAACACAAATATTTAAGATACTGGTGCAGCTATTTCATCAGCAGGAAGAAAATCCTGTGATTCACATAGAGAGTGGTAAAACCTCTTCTGTTTATCCTGTGCCACAACAGAATAAGAGTAAAGACAGGAAAAATTAGCTCTTGCTAATATATGAATATGTTCTTGTATGAGTGTTCTGTGGAGAAATTAGTGAATGTTGGAAGCTGTGAGTTTGTTTTTCCTACCTCAGTCATACAAACTCTTTTATATTCTGTAAATCACTGTGTTGCTTTTTCCAGTCATAGAGTGCAGTTATATCTGCCTTTCAGGGAATTTGAGGATTGGTTATTTGTCTATGAAGTCCTGGCATATAAAATTTTGAAAGTACCACTCATTCTTAGTTTGAAACAAGCAAAAGTAAGATTGCAAATTGTCTTAGATTACCAAAATATTTATTCTTCTTAAAGAAAAACAACCAAAGCTAGCAAAAAAACACCCAGGAATCAATTGGAGGAAAACAATCAGTAAATCTTGAAAATGGGAGATGTTTTTTCTGATGTCAGTTTTAAACTAGTAGGTATCCAGAGAATATCTTGGCGAATGTGGATTTGTCTTTAGGTGCTTGCTTCTGAAATTTTGCTTTAAAACAGTTGTTCTGCATGTCTCTAAAAGTTCGATTTTATTAATGTATTTACCTAACTAGGTACTCTCCAACTTAAATCCTTCAACTCTGGACTTCAGATTTAATTTTGGAGAGGTGATAGAGAGCTTAGCAAATATAAAGGATAATAATCATGCGTTGTGTGTAGTCTATGTAAAATGGAAGTAACTAAACTTGAGTGATCTTTGAGAAGATCAAGACTGTGATTATTTTAAGTGGTGAAGAAATCACCCATGGACCATACTTCATGTTTTGTGGACACTAAGCTCACCAAAGGACAGTTTTTCAGTATGTTTTCAGCTAACATTTATTTAGCTCATAAAGTTGTTATGAACCTGGAAGAAACCAACACTCTGGGAATAGGAAATACGTGTTTTGAGAAACAGTGTCAGAGAAAAGGACTCCAACCAAATGGTGCTGTGCAGAAATGTGTTGCTGCCATGAGCCACACACACTTTCCTTAGAGCAGATGATGTTCTGACTGAACACTGCAGTGTCTCGGTCATGCTGGAGAAGGCATTTTGCTGTGAACCATAAAGTTAATAAAAAAAGTTTACTCACATTTATTAAAATATTTTTCCTGACAAATCTACTCTTCAGAAATAATTACTACATTGTTTTCTGTTGTGTGTGACATCCGCTCTTGCCAGGCTGAATTGAGGCTTCTCTTCTCACTCAGAGATGCCAAAGCACGACCCTGCAATCCATTGGGTTGGCTTCAAAACCAGATTGGATTAGATATTTAGATACACTGAGGAGAATGGGTAGAACTGGAAAGGAAGTTTGTATCCCCAGATATCACTGACGTGCCTTTGCAGGATGTGGGGTGCTGTAAAATACCTTGGGAAACTCACATTTTGGAGCTGATGTTAGCAGTTAGGAGAGGTTGTTACTCCCATTTTCCAGTCTGTTGGCTCAGGTGAGAATGAGAGAAATTATTCTAGGGATGGAAGCGAAATGAGTATTGTGTGGTAGAAATCCAAAATACTGATTTTATCCAAGATACTGGCTAATTTCTGGATGTAGAAAATCCTTTTATTTTTTCCATCTGTGCATGGAAAAACTTTTGATAACACTAATTTCTTTATAATAGCAATTGGAGGTCAAAAAATTCCCATTGCTTACTTCTTGCTGCTGCAGACTAGTTTTGTTGCATTTCTGAAAGAAATATTTTAGAATACCTTTGTTTTTGGAGACGATCAAAAAGGAATGTTGAGTGTCATTGTTGGGCATTTGTTACCTGGAGTGTTGCACCTAGGTTTTAAGTGAATTACTCAATAATTCACTTACAAATACAGTCAACCTGCTGGCCTTTGGGGTGTAGCAGAAATGGCTTTATTTTAACTCAGTCAGTGGGGGCACTGTTGCTTCTCATGAGTTGTTGAACACAATGCAGTGTTTAATACAAAACAGATTGCAGTGATTTGGAGTGAAATGCCTAAAAGTCAGGGCATGAGGGAAGAACAGAATCTCTAGTGGCTTTTAATGATGGTGCTGCAATTCAGTGACAAGTTCAACTAAACTACTGAGTACTTTGACATCAGATTGATTTCCCTTCGTGTTGCTTCTCTTTGTGCAGGGGTTGTCAATGAGGCAAATCAGATTCCGGTTCGATGGGCAGCCAATTAATGAAACAGACACACCTGCACAGGTAAACAGCACGGGCAAGGCTAAAGAGCTACTTGAAAATTGCTGTAGGAGTTGATGCTTCCGTTTCCTATCAAATACTTACGTAAATGTGTATATTAGTGATAGAACTGGATTTTTTATACCATTATTTTGGTGTAACTAGTTTAGGATAATTAAAAATGGAATCCAAGAATTTTTTTAGTTTTTTGAGTAATAAACCTGTATTACTGTAAAAATAAAACAGAAAAATTAATACAATGTACAGATGGTGAGTCCTGTATGACTTTTGCTTTGATTCATGGCTCTGAAATAAGGATGGTAAGTTAAGAATTGAGTTTTTCTTGAAGCAATGGCTTTATTTTTTATATAAAAGCTTGCCAGGATATTATCAGAGAGATCCTGTTTGCAAGCTTCAATTTGTAATACAAAAGTAATTTTTTGTTGTTTGTAATCTGAAGCTGTTTCAGCAGCATTGAATTAATGAATATGATGAAGTTTGGGTTGTTTGTAAGTGTTTGAATGAAGGCCATTCCAAGAACAGAATGGTTCCCCGTGGCTCTGGAGCATTTTTCTGTCCTGCTCCACAGAGTTGTGTTTAATCAGCCTGACTAAGTGATAGTTTTATCTGCTCTTCAGAACTGCTTGTAATGAAATAATGGACTCTAGTTTTTAGTTCTGAATTTTCCAAGATGTTGCTTCAAATATTGTGCCTCTTGTGGCCCCAATCTATGCAATTTCTTAATTTGCAATACTGATAATTGAGGCAACAGGGTGAATTTTCTTCCCATCCGTGTTTTGCTGAAGCTCAGGATCAGTCTGTTTATAGCTGTGGTAAATGGCATAGACCAGTTTGATTTCCTGAGCAGCAACTGAGTCTGATGAGAAATCTAACTTGCATTAGTTACAGCAGCTCCTTCAGTTTTGGTAGAGATTCAGTAGGTGCCATTAACGTCCTAGGAATATCAACTATTAAATTTAGGGTGAAAAAAGAGAACTAATTAGTGAAGTATTGTTCTTTGCTGGTAATTGTTCCATGGTTACATGCAAAGTGTTTTTAATTTTTTTGTACTTTCTGATCCTTGGTTTTACTGCCTGGTTGGGCAGAGGCCTTAATTCCAGTCTGCTTCCCCAGTGCTGTAGCCGTTCGAGCAGCAGCAGCCAACTGGAGTTGTGGCAATGTTCTAAGGTAAACTGAGGGAGTAAATAGGAGAACAAAGGTACAGTGGCAAAGCAGGCAACAGAAATCAAATATTATAAATCTGTTTCTTAGGAGTCACACAATGTGCCCTGAAGTTAGTTCTAGAATTCGTTCTAGTCAACAGTTATCAATTGGCATTTTTTCTGTGCAGTTTCTTTGCTTTTGAGTTAGTGAGTTTTGTTAAATGTACAAGGGGGTGGTGGTAGAGGGGAGTGGGTTAAGTTGTATAAGAAGTAAACACAGAAACTGTAAGAACAACCCAGGCTGCTGTAAAGATGTGAGAAGAGTTGAAATATCTTTTTTCTTTTTTCTGTTGTAGTTGGAAATGGAGGATGAAGATACAATTGATGTGTTCCAGCAGCAAACAGGAGGAGTTTACTAAAACAAACACACAAAAAAGAACCTGCTACTTTCCTCTCCAGAACTGTGCTCCCACAGGCAACACTTCACAATTAGAAAAATGAGACTTGGTTCAGCCACATCCTGACTACTGCAGTATAGTTTTCTCTCTTCTCTCTGAATTTTTTTCTTATTCCTTTTATTGTACATAAAGTAACTGGTGATGTGCACAGACATAATGCATATTTTTTTTTAACTAAATGGCCAATGGTATGTTTTGATCAACATTTAATGGAGATGGGGTGGGAAAACAAACTGGTTCTGTGAAAATGCCCCTCTCTCCGTTAGTGGCATGCTCCTTCTACTTTTACAGAATCACAGAATAAGCCGAGTTATCTTTATATTCCAGTAAGTTATTTTGCTCTCACTGTTCAAAAAAAAAACCTTGCATACCTTGTTTGATTGGATAATTTCAATGTTTTTCTTTTATCATTGTAAAACCAAGGGCAATTTTATAACTTTTTTGTACGTAGCTGTTACATGTAGAGCAATCTCTGTCTAAGTAGGGGTAAATTACTCTTTAAAAAAAAAAAGGAAAAAAAAATCCTAGATAGTTTTCCCTTCAAGTAAAACGTCTTGTTGTTTAAATAAACTTCTTGTTTAAAATAACCAGTTTTCTTTCTTTTTCTGTGGAGTAATAGTACTCAGCACCTGTATTTCTTTCTCTGCAGCACTTTATGCTTCTCAAATCTCAGCTTTCTCTGTGGTAAGTAAGCATAATCCCCCTGTCTAGGCAGAAGACTGTTGGAAAAGGAAAGGCTTCCTTGAGACCTGTCAGTCAGCAGTTGAACTGGAAATAGAAGTCATTTTTCTCTTATTTTGATTTCCTTTCATTTTTTTGTGAATGTTCTGCTAAGCCAAAACTGTTTGATTAGGCAAACTGCAAAATACTGAACTACTTAGTAATGCCTTTGAGTTGAGCTCTTTTTGTCAGTCTTTAATGGAAGCATCAATATTGTTGTTGCAGTAGTTATATTTAAGACTCTGTATTTGAATGCTTATTGATGTAAACATTAAGTTAAAGAGAGCAAATTTCATTAACCGTTGAGTTTACCATGGTTTCAAATGGGAGCTGCTTGGAAATGTAAAGCAAAAATAAAAAATTGAGTTCCATTTTTGGGTGTATTTAGCAATGGTGGTGGAGATTCCAAGCTCTGCTTTACCCCACTCTACTGTTCTGCTTGAAAGATGGAAAGAGACTGGAAGTACTGAAGGGAGATGTAGTGATGGTGATGTTTTTCACAAGTTTTTTCCACAGTTACTGAGTTCTTAGGGAACTTTTTTGGGGAAGTTTAGGGTGAAATCCATGGATGTTCATGGAAGATTATACACCTGTAAAACCCACAGCCCCACAGCCTTCTCTGATGTCCTATGAACGTTCCAATATTTTAGTGTTTGCAGTACGTTAATGCTTTTTTAGATACAGGTTTCTTAGAAGAGGCCACTCTTTGGTGGTGGTTTTTGTAACAGTTAATTCAAGGAGTGATTATTACATATGGGGCCGGTGCCTGCTTGAGCTGAAAGTTTTGTGGCAGAATGATGGGTGTGTGCATTTAGCTGATGAGTTGTGATCTGTTTGTCTTCTGTCAGGAATAACACATTTGATGCTACATTAGTTCCATTTAATAGAGATACAGGGAAAATGAACATCTGTTTTTTCAGTTGCTTTTGACTCTGTAGCTGAAAAATGTAATCTACTGTGTGCCTCTGTTTTAATTCAGGGAAATGCTACTGCTAAGCAGATGACTTCAGATTCTGGGATGTATCTTGTAGATTTCTGTGGTGTTCTGCAGGATTGAAATTCCTTCTTGTGAACAAATGTTTACATGTCCAAACTATAAAAGGCCTAAAAAAATTTACTTTGAAGAAAAAAAGAGGGAATATAGAGGTGGGGGAATATATTTCAATGTCTTTCCTAGGTTACACATGGAATACATTGCTCTTTGGCTTTAGAATCTCTGGCTTTTAAGCTGGCTGAACTTTTGATATCTGTGTATAAAATTCTTTCAACTTGATGTCATGCCAAGACTTTTCCCAGGAGAAAGCGGTCTTTATCTTGTTTGGCCAAAAAAGGTGTTTGGACTTGCTTTAGTTTCTGAAGAAAGGGTGAGGTCTCCTTTAATACAATTTGCTTTCAGCTCAACTTATGATCGTGAAGCCCAAAGCTCCCTGTTGTATCTTGCCTTGTACTTTTTATTTCCTGAGGCAACAGAAGTCAAGTGACAGGTACTGAAGAGCTTTTAAAAACAATGTCTTCATTTCCTGAATTAGGTGAGTGTTGCTTCATCTGTCATGAACTTAAGTGCAGCACTCACCTACATTCCTCCATTGTTTGCATCTTTTTGCTGTTACCTGGGCTTGCTCGTGTTCCTGAAATGATTCCTCTGACAATGCTGAATGGTTTTATCTTAGGGTTGTATCTGTAGCCAAAAACTGTTAGTCTTTTCTGAGATAGTTCCTTTTTTTTTTTTTTTAATCTAACCATGAAAACATCTCAACTTCTCTGACTTAGTTCCTCAAGAGCCTCAAATGTTGAATTTCATTAGTGTAGCAAATGAAAGTGGGCTGATTTCTGATTCTTATGTATAACACATTTGTGTAACAGTAATGCAGAAATACAGTCCTTTTTAAAAAAAGAAAATCAGCACTTTTCCTGTGTGGTTTTGCAAATACTCTATGTCAGAACTTGTTGTTGTCTGTAATGCTCCTCTGGTGCTACAGATTTACCTGTGGATTCCTGATTGCTGGAACCCTCACTGGTTTTACTGTGGCTACCTCTGTGGCTGGGGGTGATGATTTGGAAGTGGTATGGAGTACTAGGATATGGACAATTTGAATCAACTTAGTTGGAGTTCACTTGGCTGCTTGGCTTGGTTTGTGGCAGTTGCCAGGTTTACACTGGTAGCCACATGGACTTCTGGAAGTCCACGTTTGGAGGATAAAGGAAAACGGGGCAAAGAGGTCTTGTCAGGCTAGTTGGGAGGTAAGTTCTTCATGTTTTATTAAACAGCTGGGATCTTTCAAGAGCCTGGGAAAATTACCCACAATTTTCAAATAATGTGTTCTAAAGTGATGGCTATCCAATTTAGTTATTATTTCTCCCATATTTTTAAATGAAAAAGGATGGAGTAAGTTCTGGTGGATGGCTGGACCCTGCCTTCAGCCTGTGCTGGGGTTTTAGTCCCTCAAATGAGTTATGGACATGACCAGTTATTTAAAAATAGGTAACCAAAGTTGTGTCAGGTACCTTAAGTAAGGCATTTTCATTCATGGGCAGGGGAGATAATGTCAGATTGAAGTCACAGCCAGTTTGAGTGGTTGACACCTGAAAATCAATGCTTTTGTTTATCTGCACAGTGGGGATCACACCCACCCAGGGGGCTCCTGTGGGGGTCAGGGTAACTGGCCTGAGGTGCTGATTCAGAAGGGTTCAGGAGTGCAAGGCTGCTCTAACATGGAGTCTTCCAAGCTGCCAGGACTGTAAGGAAATACTCCAAATGGTAATATGAGAGAGATTCTTGTACTGGCATGTGGAGGTGTTCTTAACAGAAGAAAAATCCCTGAAGTAACACTAAGGTAATTGCTGCTTCAAGATAACTGTAATATCAGAACAGAGACAGCATCTCTGCAAGGGTTAAGGTCAAAATGAGATGGTTTTCCAAGAGGAATTTTCCTTTCTACTATGTTCATTTCATTATTTCTGAGTCAGTGTAACGTAAGTGCTGTCATTTGCCTGGTGATGCTGGTTCTATTGTGTCTCTTACTGCAACATTAATGAAAAGGCATAATGTGACTGGCTCAAAGAGAGGAGACTTCCTAGGCTTCAGCCAGCTGGAAATAACTGAATTTCTAAGGAATAGCAATTTGTTTTCAAGACTAAAGATTAAAAGATACTTCCTTGGTCATCATATAAACAATAAATCCAAGTATTTTTCTTAGAATTTTAGGTAGTGGCCTCTTCTCAGTACATGTGTATCAGCTGCTGTGATGGACTCTTGTATTAATCTAAAAGCATTTAAGTAACTTGGATTATTATTAATTATATTACCAGCGTAATTAATGTATTAATTATGGTTGAGGTTTGCTCATTCTGCCTGTAATGAGTTTCCAGGCAACGTGTTCTGATAGGGAATAATCAATCCTTTCGTTTATCTGGGTTTTTAGTACTTAATGGCAGAAGGAATTGGTGGTACAGCCCTTCTCCTGGGTGATTAGGATATAGGAGTGTGAGGATAAATGGAAGATGGAATTTTGATCTCTGTCAGTTTTTGATTGACTTCAAGATGCTTAATTGCAGGGGTTTCCTGGTTTCTTCCCTTGCAGCATGGTATTGTGATCTTACTGTAACATGCAGGTGCTGGGAGCCCTACCCAGTGCTCATGGAATGGTTGAAGTCCCTTTAAGGAAGGATTTTCCCTTATCCCGGAAGGATTTCAGATGAAGTGGGAGGAGTGAGGTGGGGTGGGTGGTGCTGTGAAAGGACTGGCTGGGTGTCAGCAGAGATCCCAGAAGGGAAGGTCAGCAGGTGCTGGAGAAGGACAGGGGATGTGTGTGAGTCAGTGAGGAGCTGCAGTGGGATGGGAACTGTAGGAAGAGCTGTAGGTTTAAACGATCCCCATATCAGATTGACTTTGGAGTACTGGGGCAAGGCTAAGTTTGTGGAAGCCCAGCTAGCAAATAGAGTTCCTCCTTTGGAAAGGAATACTCTTTAGGGAAACATGGATGCAAAGGATACCCTTTGTGGTGAATTTTCTGCTGGTTTTGGTGGATTAGATCTCCCCCTTCCAGCATCCAGTCCATGGATCCCATCAAAGCACATCTGATGCCCTGCAAGGGCTCTTGAAGGATCACTTGAATAAGAAAACTTCACTGTTTTAAGACAACTGAAACAAAAGAAAACTGGAACACTTTGGAGTCCACGACCAGGCTTGGTAGTGTTGGATGCTCAGACAAGAATAACAGCATGATTTGGTCACTCTGCTTTTTGTGTTATTCAGAGCTACCTCAGCAGCTCTGAGAGGAGTCTGGGCACTGTGGTACAATTCCCCTTCCCAAACAATGACAGGGGAAAAAAAAATGTCGGGAACTTTTCCTGAAGATGTAGAGAGGTACCAGAGCAACTTTATCAGCTCTTGCAAACAACAGCATCAGCTCTGTGGGACAAACCATGGGATCTGTAGGATAGCACGTTGCACTGAACCTCCATGCATTGTTTCAGATGCAAAAATCTGACAGTGGCAAATCCAGCTGTGGCAAGGATTGTTTATTAGCTGGCACTTTATCTTCAGCTGTGAATGAAATGGGGCAAGAGAAGACTGAGTCAAACCCTCTTTTTCTGTGCCTTGTGCTTGGAATAAAGAAGGAATGCTCTCTGTGACAGCCATAAGTAGCAGAGACTGGCATGAAGAAACCCTTGTTCACAGAAGGATGGCCAAGCTGAGGCTTTTCTCAAACCAATGGTATCTCTCCTTGCCTAACCCTTGCATTTCCTGGGGTCTTGTTCAGACTTCCACATGCATTGTGCATTCCTTGCTGGTGGAATTCCAACAACAGGTGGAATTGTTTGGTGCCTGAGTCTTCCAGACAGCTGCTGAGAATTGTTCTGGTCA